GCAGAATGTTTCTGGATCGGCCGCGAGTACGAAAAACGTGATTTTCCGTCACGATTTATCGGAGAGGGATTATTATTTTTTATCATCGACCAGCCGACGCCCGTTTAGCGGTGCCGATGTCGCACCCGTTAGGTATACATACGGTCGTAATACTTAATAATATATTTCATTAAAAGCGTCGACCCTCCCGGCCGTTTTGTCGCACCATCATCGTTTGTTAAAAAAAAATCGACGAAAAAACACCGCGTGTACACGCGGCGGCACACGAACCCCTTGTCGCGTTTCCCCTCTCGCTGCCAACGGGTCCGACCCACAGTCGATCGGCGCGGTCCAATGAGCAATTTGAACCCCAAAAGTCGACGTCGCGGCTGCCCCGCCGCATATACACATGTGCTGCTACAGAAGGGGGTTACGAGGCTTCTGTAATAATCATCCCTTTGGTGTACACAACATACATATACGCGTATGGATATGATCACTGGGAATGGCGGTATCTTTCACGTCATAAACTCAGACCTTTAAAATTGTTTTAGTTAATGCCGCTGTATGTGCACAAGGCTGTCGCTGTTGTACATAATAATAATATGCATGTGGTACATTCAACGGGTCAGAATTTTCACTTTGCCGACATCAATTCGCACCACGGCCGTACAAATGTTTTCATATTTTATGTTTTAAACCCAAACCGTGTATTTTACATTGGTCGAATAAAGATTCATTTTTTATGGGCTCCGTTAAGTGTATGCGTGTGATAACTATGAAAACAAATGTAACGCAAATTTAAATACACGCGACGAATTGAAATTTTATCGAAGGAAATATTTGCTCGCCTAAAGTTTTATCGTACTCTGCAACGTATGACGATTTATAAAACATAAAAACGTCGTGAGGGCCTTGTGTTAGGCGTTGACTAATGGCGTCTTGGAAAAATATTTTTATTTAATAAATGATTACGAAGTTCCTACCTATTTTGTAGCCACTAGAATTTTCAACAGTACACGTCCCAAAGTGACTATCGTTGTACTAACAATACGTTTTCCGCAAATTAAAAAAACACGACGGGTTCTTATCGGAGTTTATTGGATAGTTTTAGATTTAGACGGCGGAATGGGTTCGGACGAGACTTGCACTTCCATTGGTGACAATTCCAATCACGACGGATCCCTGGGAGGATGTGCTCCTGGATCAACAAACGACGACGACCAGGCGAGGCTTAGACTCAAAAGAAAACTGCAGCGAAACCGGACGTCATTTACGAACGAGCAAATAGACAGTCTGGAAAAAGGTAAGAAATAAATCGTGTTGTTAAAATGGAACAATAGTCTTACCGATATTTGCGTGTTCGTAGAATTCGAACGGACTCACTATCCAGACGTGTTTGCCAGAGAGAGACTTGCCGGCAAAATTGGGTTGCCCGAAGCCAGAATTCAGGTATTTTAACCACAGTGTTACTTATGCGGTCCTATTACTGTACTAATATTCTGTCGAGTCGTTTGAAGCAGCGTTTATTTATTTTTTTTTATTATGCATTTGCTAGGTTTGGTTTTCTAACCGTCGCGCTAAATGGCGAAGGGAAGAAAAGCTTCGGACACAACGTCGCCCCAACTCCAACCAAAACCAACAATCGATGGACCCGCAGAATCAACAACAGCAGCAACAGCAGCAAACGTCTCCTAGTCGGATGAACGGGTTCACAACGAACAACAACACCGAACCTAATCCTAACATGTACACCACGATTGGCGGACACGACGCTTTTGGGTAAGAAATATTTCCGAATAAATGTTGTCTCAAGTTTGTTAAGACTAAATACTCAAAGTTGGAATTTTTTTTCGCGAGTGTGGATCGATTAAAATTAGATCAATGTTCATTGCACATTCAGATAATAAACTGTATTGCTGAATTCCCTTTACCAATTTTCAGTTAACCAGTGCAGCCAGCCCATCGACATTTTTCATATACTATTTTTACACTAATGTACATAATATACCATAGCTGCCTTATATTTAAAGTCTCGGAATTAAAGGATATCCCGAAGAGGTCAAATGTAACTGTAAGATGGCTTCTAAAGAAATACTCGTTGAAAAATGTTCGATACCAAATATGAACTAATTTTTATGTAAATTATAAAAAAAAATCCATAGTATAATGCAAAAATAGTTTATAAATAATGCATTTTTTCGCCAACACTGTATCTGTAAAAAAGGTACATTGATGAAAAATCGTCATATTTATGCCTCTTTGTCTACACGCCATGAATAATTTTACACGCCGATTTGTTAAATGTTGTGCCGAGGGACTTGAAGTTTTCCTGTAAATATTTTTAATCAACTTGTTTCTGTATTTAATCTGTCTGAAATAACCAACTGAAAACATGATGATATTATCGTACAATCTATAGAAATTGTCAACTAACTGACTACTACTACTACTACTACTACTTGTACTTGAGCGAACAAACGATAATATTTATTCAGAAATTCATTTTATATAAGATTGGCATTTAAATAAAAAAAATTGTTTTTAGGCCAATGTCAATGAACTTCGGCATGCCGAGCAGCAATAATGAGAACGGGCTGTCCCTGTCCATTATGCCGGGACATCATTCGATAACTGGCGATCAACGAGACGCATACGGTTGTATGTCTAGGCCGACGTATGACACATCTCCGCCATTAGCTATTGGAACGCCAGGATATTTACGACCGCCATTGTCACCGACTCCGAACAGTAGTCCACCAGCTCACCACACCGCATATCACCACCATCCCCCACCATCATCAATTAACGGTCACCATCCACATCATCATGCCCATCATCAGTATAACATGAACAGTTCTAACTCGACAGGTATAGTTCATATTAATATGTTATGCTGCGTTTTAAAACTTTATGTGTTATTTCAAATTTTAAATGCACAAACTCTTATGANGAAACTTTATGTGTTATTTCAAATTTTAAATGCACAAACTCTTATGAAATTTTAAAGCTACCGGTCAACTTACAGAATACCTCTAAAATTGAACACTCTCGATATGATGTAAATTTTTAACTCATTAGTTTTCAACATTTTTATCATTTGCCGAATTTATTATGTATACCTTTATTAAGAAAGTGTTGAATTTGAATGATCACTTAAATATTCTAAAAAGACATACAAATATTCGTCAATCACATGGCCTTATATGTTTTTAAATTTAAACTTAAACATAAGAGGATTATTTTTCAATTACGTGTAAATGATCATGTTAAAAAAAAAAAATAGATGTAGTTACTAGTTTCAGACTTGGATTTTGGAAATTAAACTCGTTAGTTAAAATTTTATGTTGAACAAATCTTTGTTTCGTTACTGAACTAATTATTTATAAGGAAATCAGTCAATTAGTTTGAACTAAAAGTCAAGCTTATACTGACACTAAACATTAAAAAATAAATAATACTCATATCAATTAGTATAGATTAATATGTTAGTTGAAATTGAATTGTACGTATTTATTGTTTATTTAAGGTCTTATATCGCCCGGTGTATCAGTACCAATAGCTGTTCCAGGACATACAACAGACTTATCTGCCCAATACTGGCCACGTTTGCAGTGACGCCAGGCTGTCAAGTAGAACAACAAAACAACATTGAATTAAAAAATATTAAAATCGTGCAATTTTCAACGATATTTGGAGTTATTTAATTATAAATGTAAATAGTATAGTAATAATTATGATTGTAATTAAAAAAAAATTATAGCTTAATAAAAAAAAACAAAAATTGTACATAAATTATAGTTTGTTTTTCTTTTTAACCAAACAATGTCGAATTAATACTAATAATTATTTTCAAACAGTTCACTAATAATTAAAATATAAGTGTATTGGTTGTTCAAATTGTAAATTAATAATACTTAAATATACCAAATTAAAAATTACTATACATATGACTATTTTTAATTTGTAAATGTTATCCTTATAAGTACTCTGGTCGTAACGTGTCCATTTGTGTATTCTTCATTTTAAATTTTGAATTAATATATATTTTTATTATACATTCAGTTTCCATTCAAGAAACTGAATTAGTTTTAAATGTGAAAACTTGAACCTCATCAGATGCACAAGTTGTAAAATCAACATCATGGCAGCCTTTCATATGTTCTGTCATGTTGGATTTTGTTCTAAAACATTTTCCACAAACAGAACATTCAAAAGGCTTTTCTCTAGT